TAATACTTTTTTTTAATAATAAAAATTTAAGAGAATAAAAATAATTTTACATTATAAAATAAATATTATACTTATAAATTAAATCCTTATAAATAATAAAAAAGGTGCATTTTGCCACCTCAACTGAGCGGCAAATGCCTTCCTTTATCACTCTTTTTTTTTTTTTTTAACATGGAAAATTACGAGGAAGGAAAAAAATTGTAAGTAATTGATGAAAATTAAATTTTTGCTCAATTAAACTCGTATATTAAAATTTGAGGCGAACCATTAATTCAAAGACTGGTTCCTTCCTTTACCATTTTTTTTTATTTTTTTTAAACAAGTTATAATTTCTGAAAAAAAAAATTTTAATCTTAATTTTAAAATTTTAAAATACACCTTATAATTAAATGTATAATTACAGAGTCACAAAAGGCGGATGCCCTTCCTCTACCACTCTTTATTCTTTATTGTATCAGATTTTAAATTTAAGAATTTTAAATTAAAATTTTAAGTTATTAACTTTTAAGAGGGCACCCAAAAAGTAATACTTAATTTTGATAACGCAATAATGCGTCTCTTCCAAGTAAGATGCTTGTTCCCTTGAGAGTTGAGAGGCTTATTCCTCCCAAATGAGTATTACCGTACATTTCTAATTTTTATCTCATCCCCGGAACAAAATTGCTTTGATGACAAACGAGTCTAATTAATTTTTAGAATTTTATGTATTTTATCTTATATAATATATGCTAGTGCATTTCCAAGACAATTGTTCCACCTTTCTTCAATTCTTCTCTAATAGATGAACTGATTATGCCTAGAGGTCATCAACAAATACAACAACTTATGCTCTAGCATTTCTTTAGAAGTTGTGGAAAAATAGTATGCCATGATATTAAAAATAATAAAATATTTAATAATAACTACAAGACTAATGAAATATATAGTAAGTTTCATTTGGATTTTATTTATTGTATGGTTAAAATTAAATATGTTAATATGTTTAATGTTAAAATGTCTCTATTTTTATTTTTTTTATTGATTTATTACTTAAAAGATCAACGAATTAAAAGTAGCAATCCTAAATTGTTGAAATTGAAAAAAAATAGAATGTCTTGGTAATTGAAATACTAGAAATGATAATGAAACTAAAATATCCTTATAAATTAAAACATAAAAAATTTGTTAAAAATATTTAAATAATTTTACAAAATATACTAATATTTAAAATTTAAAAATCAAAATATCCCAATTTTTACTCTTTTTTTCCCTAAATTGTTTCGATGAGAAACAACCCTAAATGGTTATTAAAACCTTTACATACGGGTAAATTGTTGGAAAACAACTTCATTCAACGAAAATTGCATATTGCTCCCTGTTCTATAAAAATAAGTGCTGTTTTTTTTTTTCA